AAATGTAGATGTTAAAGTATTAGTCAGTGGTAAAGACAATCCTTTGTTGTTGCCAGGCAGATTATGTTTCTTTCAAATACAAATCAGTAAATCTCAGACGAAGTCCTTTTGTGGTTTTCATCACTGAATTTATCAATTCAATGAGAGCAATGTATGACTTAACCTGATAGGGTCATGAACTATTTCTTACATTTTAAGACCTAAAATCTTAATGAAAACAACTTTGAATTCTGAAAAGAATGAGACCTCTGGATTACTGCAGGCTTAGCACTATTAAATGCCTCATTTCCATCAATGGAATATCAAACATCCTCACCTCTGACTGGTGTCAGCCAGTGTGGGACAAGGGAGTAATGGGTGCAGGTAAGCGTGACTGGTGGCCGCCATGTTTGTTTTGATGTTACGTCTCTACCTGCGCAGGTAGTTGGCAGCTGTCAGAAACCATGGTAAGGCGTATACATGCCACAGTATCCTGTTTTCATTTTGAGTTAGTCAGGTAGCAAGATCAGGTTTCTCAAAATGGGGATAAGGGCTTATCTTGGTTTCTGATATCATGATATGATGTTTACATGCACAAACACAAAAACAGGATACTCAAGTTCATGTAAATGCACTCATTCCCTCGCAGAAAAATTTGAAAATAAATGTTCATTTTTGAAGGGGCATAATCTTCAATAACATTTATTGATATACTGAATTCAGCATTTATCATGACATCCTCAACACGTCCCCAATTGCATTTGACACAGCCTCTGCATGAAAGTATCAAAACTCCTGTTTTAAGTTTCACTAGCAGGTGCTCATCAGGAGATTAACTTCAACTATTTCAACCTCTAGATGCAGCACCTGACGGTCTGTAGCTCTGTACAAATCCAAGGTTTGTGTTGTGTTTTGTTAGCAAGAATTTTACATCAAGAACCCTGTATGCACAATGATTTGCAAAATTCATACCGGACCGGTAGGTGAAATGTTTGTACTGGCGAAATAAACTTCCAGACAATAAACCTGATGAGTGTTTTAAGTTTAACTAAACAAACGAGCAAATGAGGCAGAGAAAGGGCCCATCCCTTTCTGCACAGCTGAGCTACCTCGTATAAATAACCAGGCCTTCTTCTGAGTGACTGCCCCGCTGGGTGTCATCCTGCTCCATAGAACAACTTAGTATGTTTACATGCACAGTAAAGTCGAGCAACTGTTATAGCTCAATTACGCCTTAAATTGGACTTCTGTCCTTACCCCAGTATTCAAGAATGGCAGGGGAGTTGACAGAAGTATGTTAGACTCTGCTACAGTATGTGGGCGACAGGTAGGTAATGCACCCTGTCTCTGCTTGTTACCGTTGGACCCTCATTTGGTTCACCTTTTACGCCACATACCAAACAATCAACAAGTTAACAAGCAGCAAATTGGTTTTATGTCGAAACCGTGAAAAATGAAAACGCTCTGTACATTTTGTATGTTCTCCCTCTTCTCTTCTCACTGGATCATTAGAAAAGCTGTGCCATGAAACAAAGCTACAAAGCACACTTCTTCAAATGACTGATCATTATCCATATTCATGACATTAACAGACATTTAAAAGCATACTCCTATTCTTCTGGTATTCATGAGCTACTGGGGAACCTGGAACACCCCTTACCTAGTCGATAAAAACCATGAGCTGACTGGTCTGTGACCGAAATCAACAGACAACAAACAAGGACTCTTTTTCTATCAGTCTGTGATCGACTGTCAAGTTGTCATCTGTCCATCTCTTACACTCAGAATGACACATACAGTCAAACACTACACATTCAAAAAAGAAGAAATTAATTTTTATATTTCTCCTTTAAGAGGCTACACACACTGCCACCATTCCGCATAATCAGGCAAAACCATCAAAGTCTTTCAATAATGTTAAAGTCCTAAACAAATCTCCTCTAAACATGGCACTCCCTGACCCAACTTTTTTTTGGCTCCATGGATTTGACAGGAAGGTTCTCACCGCAATCTGACTCTTGTCTGTCTGTCTGTTTGTATGTATATCAACACAGGCATAGTGGTAGAGCTGCAGCCTCAGCTCCCTCGACACACACCTTTATCTGTGTCATTAAAAACAGTAAAATAAAAAACAAACATTTACAGAACAGGAGCTGTCTGTTTGTTTAGTCTGTGGCTTGTTGTGTTTGATACCAGGCATCCATCATAAGGGATGTGCACACTAATCACAACAGTCACGTCATTAAAGAAAAGCTTTGCATTACACCTCATTGCATGTATTGTGAGTGGAAGCTCAAACGAGAGTTTCATAGCAGATGTTAAACTTTAATGCATTTGCTTGCCAAATGCACCAATTTTGGCTTTGTGATTACTTCTTTTGCCATCCCCTATTTCATATCATATTCCTATTTAGGATATCTTATTTATTCTTGCACTGTCACTTTATTCTCCACACTGTTTTTACATAACTCTGCAACTACTAATCATACAACTAGCCAATTTAACTCTGCCCAACATCTCTAAAAGTCCCTTATAGCTTCTGTTTGGCCATGCATGGATGTAGTTTATTTTAGATGACTAGTGACTACTTGTAATTGCATACTTTTCTGCCTTTGCAATGCTGCAACCTTAACTTTCCTCAGTGGGGATCAATAAAAGATTATCAAACTTGTTTTTGCCCTTTTGAGCTTTTCGCGACCATGCCTGTCAAGAACACCAAGCCAGACTGACACGTGACCGCACACAGGCCAGTACAGCCTGGAAACATTATTTAGGTACCTGATCCATTGATCCGCACACAAACATGAATGCATCTGAATTTTTGTGGGACCCTTCTGCTTGAAATGCCCCCAACGTTCCCCTACCTACAATAGAAGTCCAAAGCCCATTTTGGGATAAACAAAAAACCTTTAAAAAGCGTGGGTGCCAGGTCGAGTGCCCACTGAGTTAAAGATCTACAGAATAAAACAGACCTGTGTTGAACCTGAGTGTCTCTCATTTTGAATGATAGTGTTTCTTTAATATCCTGATTTTGTAATAATGTCTGATAATGAATGTGTCCAATAATCCAGTATTCTGCTAACTGTCGTCCACATACGGTAAACTGAAAGTGTCTGGTGGCAGAGAGCACTCATTTTAACATGTCAATAGTTTTTCACAATCGTCAGACACTAAATCCCGTTCTTTCAACCAAATGATCAGTGGCTTAAACCCATTTGTTGAATTAATCACTCTTCTGGCAAAACCTTCAATAATTTTAACAAGTTAGCCATTATTTTGCAAATATCATTCACCCCTTTTTTTAACACTCTAAACTCCTTCTCACTTACTAAATCACATTTTGCCCTGTGATGCACGATGGTAATCCCAAGTGGCAGAAGGGTAAATGCAACTACAGGAAAGGTGTCACAGTTTTTACACACAAATCACTCACAACTAAAAAACACTTGTTGCTAATGTTGTGATAAAACCAATATAAGCCAGTTCAAAGTGCACTGAATGGAGACAATCCCAGAGTCAAAGGAGGAAGAGTGCGTGCGAGAGGTTTACAGACTACGAGGAGGAGGAAGGGGACGAAGAAGACCAAGAGCAGAAATTTTGGACCTTCGTGGGTTGATTCAGAGTACCGCAACATTGTGAAACAATATTATATATAGGAATTGAAGGGCGCCACTGTCCTAGTGGTTAGTCTGCGTGCCCAATGTATGGAGGCTGTGATCCTTGAATTGGGTGGCTCGGTTTGAATCCGACCTTTGGCTCCTTTTCCGCGTGTCTCTCTCTGCCAGATTTCCAACTCTGTCCTCTGTCCTGTCTCTACAATAAAGGCATAAACACTCCCAACATAAAATGTAAAAAAAAATTGGAATTGAAAGTGCAGACAACAGCGTGCAGGAGTCTTTTAATTGTAGTTTTATCTTGGACTTCTGCCCTATGCACCTGTCCAGGTGTGCAACACTTTTTGTGCTTTGTGTGTTTCTTTGGGAAAATGTAACTCAATTTTTATTTATTTATATTTATTATACTATGCATTGTGATTAACTGTACTGGCTTGCTTACTCACTGTTGTTTAAAAAAGTATTATGTGGAGCGATGGCTGTCTGCTGTGTTTACCTTCTCATTGGTGTTTTTATTTTGACTGCTTTGTTTTGATTTGGATGTTAAGCTTTTATAGGCCGTAGTTTAAAAAACGTTTGTGTTTAAATTTTAGAAAACAAAAAGGGACGAAAGTTTCAAGAAATATGTCATAAACAATAGTGGAAACACAGTGTTAAGAAAGTGTCTGGTGTCATAAGTTTTCTTCTTCATGCTCCTGTTTGTTCATTGACAGTGTATCAGCATATTCAGAAAAAAAACAAGTGTCTGATGTGTTATTGTGCTAGAAATGAAGCACTGAAATGAGCAATTCAATCATTATCTAACAAGCTAGGGTAAGCTAAGTGAAAAAGCTAGTCGGGCTCTACTTTTAAGCTAAATTTGGGAGAGTATCAACCCACAGGTAACCTAGGTCAAGCAACTCTAAAAGTTCATCCTCCATTCAAAGTTATACAATGGGCTTTGGTAAACTTTTCTAACCTTGTGTACTGTATCTGTCGGACAGGATCTCAGCTAGCCAAACAGCTAATTAGCTTGTAAGCTAAAGCTAGCTCCAACAGTCTCCTCTTTTTCATCTTCGTCAGTACCCTTCTCTCCGTCCTCTGCGCTGTGCCACACACTCACCTCGGGCCTTTCAGAAGCTTTCCCATACATCATGTCAAGTAATATATGATAGAGTATGTTTACTTTGTGGTCAGTGTCTTTGTAAGGAGTAGTTAGAGAGGATGCTCTGCGCCGAGCGGAGGCCCCCCCCCCTGCCCTCCCTCCTCCAGCACCGAGCAGCGGTGTCACCAAAGCGGACTGGCCGTTGTGTCTCCAGAGCCTAAAGGCCCCAGCGTCATCCTGGGTACATGGTCTAAAAGGCTTGATATAAAACAATGACAACTTGTAATTAGGAACCTCTAACGCGTGGACATGCCTTGTCTTACCTTTGCTTTGGTAATGATGTGTGTGGCTAGTTTAACAACCGCGAAATTTCCCTTGCCGATGGTCCGCTCGATTTCGTAGTGGCCCACTCGGGCTGGGGGGGGCCTGGTGGCCGAAGTGTGGCCGGGATTGGTGATGCACCCAGGCGCCGTGCTGGTACGGCTCGGTGGGCAGATGCTGGCGGGTGGCTGGGCTCGGTTCTGAGGGCCCATGCCTGCGTGTGTCGGTCGGGCAGGGTGCGTAATCCCGGCCGCAGCGGGCCCAGCAGCACCTCCGCTTGACACGGCCGCCATCTTCTCAGCCTCTCTGCGGGAACAACAAGCAAGCCTAGCGCAGCGCGCATCTCGGGCCCGCCCCCGCCCCCTGCGTCATTTTACGTGGAACGCTCCTCCGCAGCGCCCTCTCTAGGTTGTAACCATGGTAACGATGAGCGTAACAATGACTTCATCCACAGAAACGTATTGTGGTTGCCTTGGCGACACAGAAGTGCGCATTATCACTCTGGTTCCCATGATTCAGTGATTCCTTGCAAACTGCTGCACTAAGTATGATCAGAAGGGTTCACACGGCTTTAAAGGCATACACTGCTCTAACATTTTATATTCATAGATCCTTTATTTGCTCGCTTCAGTGTATAATAATAATTTATTAAATTCAGTTTTACACTCTGTTATATTGGACATGCTACACACACATAGGCTGAAATACACACATGCACAAACAGGATTCTATGGACATTCACTAATGGAGAGCTGTCAGAGTGAGGGGGCTGCACACAGTGAGCTGGTGGGGGGGGGGGTTTGGTGCCTTGCTCAGGGGTACCTCGGCAGTGCTCAGGAAGTGGACTGGCACCTCTCCAGCTACAAGACCAATTTCCAGACTTGGTCCGTACAATAGCCATATAGCCTTTCTTCTCAAAATACTGAAATAATGTAGGCCTACATGAACAAACAGGAGAAGAAACATAACCCTCAACGTAAATTACTGTTGATAGGATCATGGCCAACCTGTCTGTGTTTATCTTTTTTCTTTTATAAAATCTTAGCCTATTAAATGTAATAATCACCTACACCCTGAAACAATATATTATAACAATCTCAGTGTTGATTCACTCAAGGAGTAAACGTTGTAGGCCTAATTGTTATTGCTTTTGTAATTAAAGTAAACGGCTATAACTGCAGGAAATGTTAGCACGCATGCACCCAACTTTGTAGTTGGTTGGGTTTTTTTTTTTAAATCAAAGGGTGAATATGCATTTAATCTAATTGTTGAATATCCTCAAAACATCCTTATGCTCTCTCTAATCTTCATGACTCCAACACGCAAGTGTTGAATAACATGGAGGTATGTGGTGGAAATGGAAGGATGTGTTGCTTGCTGTACAAAGAATACCTTCCTCTGACTCTGAACTCAGGCCACATTTTTTTCTTATTACTTCGCCTCAACACTCAAATCTTCAAAACATTAACTCCAGACCTCTGAACAGATTAGATTTTCGTATTGAACTGCACATGATTTGGTACATGAGTGAGAAAAAGATAGGTAGTTATATGTACATCACGTAAAGGTGCAGGGCAGTGCATGAGTGAGTGAAGGAGGAAGAAGATGATCTTCGTCAGGAGATCAGAATCAGAATCAGAGTTTATTGCCAAGTACATTTACACATACAAGGAATTTGACTTGGTGTATTGGTGCTAAACAATTAACAAGGAAATAAAGCAGAACTAGCAACAACTTAAATGATACATTAAAAGAAGCTATTACAATATATAAAATAGAATTTAAAAATATAAAATATAAATAAATATATATAAGAAACACAAAATGTACAAAAGGTGCAATGTAGGAGCTGTGCAGTGGACTATGAGAAAAAATCAGAGTGCATGTAAGGAAGATACATTTTTGAAGTCCAGTGGCCGTTAATGTAACGCATAAAGAACAGTTCAGCATTCACATTACTTTGATGTTACAATAGATAATATTCAAACAAAAATATCTTCTTCATCAGTAGCATGACTGCAATAAGAGTAAAATTGTCTACACATTTGCACAACATGCCACACACTTACCTTCTGATCAAAACATGTTAACTTTCAAACTCTTCACAACTTCTAAACTTTCAGTCATTATGAGTCGTCACAAACAAAATGGTCCATTCGGTTATCAGACTGGTCAGAAATATTTATTTATAAATATCTAAAACATGGGGTGTTTGTGGTGTCTGCTAAATCTGCCCATGAGCTGTCAGCTTTCAGTAAGGAACGAGGAAACACAAGGGAGTCATTTTGTGGCTAATTGTCTGTGAAGAATTTGCATGAAAGAGCAAAGGGGAATGTCCTAACAAGTTGTTACACAGACAGAGTTACTGCAGACAATCAGATGAGAAATCGTACCAATGTGATTAATAAACCCACAGAAGATACAAATCTGTAAAATAGCAGAACAAATAGCTTACTTAACCACTCAAAGTGTTCTTTTGATTAACAATATGCAACAAAAACAACAACAATTATTTAGTGTTGAATAAAGAAAAATAATAATCATTTTTAAGACATGGTTAATTTTCTTTTATTCTACATTTTTTGTATTCTATCTGAAATCTGAATATTTAAATGCAAATGTTGATATTTAAAGTTAAAAACTGGCTGTGTCTCCAAAGGGAAAGGCAGATCACTTTCTTTATAGGCTACATGTAATTTTTTTTAGCTACAAAATCTGTCACTGAAATCTTGCTGATGATGAACTTTCATAATTTAAATCAAAAAGTTTAAGAAAATTAAAGGGGGAATTTCAGATGATGTGTGGTTTATCTGAAACTTTTATGCAAAACATGTTGTTTTCTACATGGACTGTTCTGTGGCGGTGCTGTGCCACAGCCTTCTAACATGCTGTAGACAGCGACACCCCATGGCAAAGAGGAGCTACTGCATCCTATTCTTACCAAATAGCAGGACGTTGCCTAGACTGACCTTCAGGGTGACATCTCCTATAGCAAATTAAATTCTCTAAACATTGACATGCTGCTTCGAGCAATACTTGGGGGTGATTTCTTCAAGCACACACTAAGGAGATTGATTTAAAGTACAAGTAGTTTTCAGAACTTCATTTAAGGCGAAGCACGGCAGGCAAAAACATACAATTTTCATGCACTGGTCAATTTTGAGATTTTGGGCTAGTTCACTCCTTGAACATGTAATATTTCAAACTACCATAAAGAAAAAAATCAAAATTATACATTCATGTGTGTATTTATAGGCTATTATTATATACATGAACTGCCTTCTTATTTACGTTCTCTGTTGATTCCTAAAGCTGTCAGCAGCTGTAGCCTTGAATCTGTCCTTTCAGGAACTCGCTCTGTCTTTGGTGAAATTGCTTTCAGTGTGTTTGCTCCATCATCTTGTTCTGAGCTGAATAGTCACCTTATTTAACTAGAGCATTTAGTCGGCTTGGAAGATTTTAAAAGCAGGATTAAGTATCATTTGACGACTGTATGCACATGGTTCTCTTCTGAACTCTACTGATTTGTTGATTGATGTCATATTTGTTTATCGTCTGTCTTTTGCTCTCCGTCTGAAACTTGTATGCTGCTGTCTTGGCCATGACTCTCTTGCAAAAGAGATCTCAATGAGAATATTTCCCTGGTAAAATAAAATAAAATACAAATAAATTAAATGGCATCTTGTTTATCTTGTACTTTTAAAAGAGGTTGAGTGCCATGTTTTTATATTTGTTCTTGATTAATGAATAATAAAAAATAAGAGTCGTAAATGGCAGCGTGATGACGTCATGACGCCACACATGGATTGTTTACTGTCAGAGCGTGAGGGGGCGCTCATGATGTTTCATGCTGTAAACACTGAATCTCTTCACTCTACACACGGGGATTTATTAGCTCGAAGGCCACGGCGCCTCAAAAACAGGTTTCGGGTTTAATTTCGTGCTGCTTTAATTTTTGTCACGACGCTGGAATTGATGTCACAAAATGAAGATGACTGACCTATCGTAGGAGCAAACGATGCTAACGTTAGCACGGCTAGCTAACAGCGTTTCAGGTGAAGAAAAGTACCACCGTCAGTTTGTTGTCTTGAAACCTGTGTCATCGGTATGACTGGTAGATTTTAGCTTTGTTTGCACATCAGTATTTGGAGGATCGTGTCTTAAGTTATGTAACCATCCAGCTGTCTCTTTTAGCTTGTTAGCTAGCAGCTGTTGTTGTTGTGGCTCTCAGTTGAAGGATCCTTGCAGCGGTCTCTGGATGGGGTGGAGTTTGTGTTAGTGTTGCCCTGAAGGCTACAATAACGTCATTTTTTTTAGTTGGCGATTGTGGAGTACGTTGTCAGACAAAATGGTGTTTCGAAGTTGCTGGAAATCTCGACATAAAAACGTCTCTGGAGCTGCTGGTCCTCGTTGGATCCGACCCGGATTGGCAGCCCTCCTCTGGTTCTGTGTGACCCAGTTTGTCTGCGGGGCGGTGGGCGAGACCAAAAACGTGGTCCAGAAGGACGCAGAGTTTGATGTCACCTATAACGACACGGTTACAAGTGAGAACCAGACCATCTATGCTTTCAATCACACCATCTCCAGGAACAAGGTGAGTTGACCACATCACAACCATGGCTTTGATTTACTCACTAAACAACAACAACAACAACAACAACAACAACCAAGCTGTTGTTGTGAAACTATGACACCGTTTGAAAGTGGAGTTGAAGCAAACACGAAACATGATTTTCACAAGATACTTAAGATAAGGCTTTAAAATTGGATGTTAATTATTTAATCTATTTATGTACTTAACTTATTTCCCTGTTGAAAAGAATGGGATGCCGTTAAGGGAATCAATAAATCAATAAATAAATCAATAAGAACATGAAACCTTGAACCTTGAATAAAATTCGTCCGTTTACCTCTGATCTTGGAGCTGATAATGACGTCACTCCCTAGATAACAACTGGGACATAACAACAGGAGCCCCTTTGTTTTGTTAGTACCAGAAAATAAAGTGACAACATGTCAACAAATCTAAATATAACTGTCATGATACAGAAAAAGAGGACTAAGCTGCTAACAGACACTAAGTTAATGTCTAATCTTGCTGTTGATGCATGGAGCAGCCTGCTCTGAGTTTCCCAGTGGGAATTCCGACTTAACAGAGGCGTTCCCGATGAGGTATCAGACCGGCAACTCAGAATTTCCAACTTCTGAAGTCAAATGGAAAGCACCATGAATACACTGAATGAGCATCTGAATATTCTGAATGTGTGAAATATAACCTGTTTCCCCCCTTGTCTTTGGGTTTCAGACGGAGGGAGTGCGTGTGACCGTAG